TTTTTTTTTTTAAAGACCTGTGCTTGAATACATTGATCTGGTCAGCAGTGATGATGAAGAGCCTAGCAGTTCTCACAGTGATGGTAGTGTTAAGCATAAAGACCATATCAACCATCAAAGGGATAAAGTTGTTTTAACTCTGGCTTGTCTAGCCTGCAATGTTGAAGTGGAGAAACAGCAAAAAGAAGAAAAGAATAGAGCCTTCAGGGAAAAAATCCATTTTCAGCATGCTCATGGGTTACAAGAATTGGAATTTATTTGAGGACATTCTGATACAGAAGCAGCAACATTGTGTGTGGATCAGTGGCTAAAAATGACAGAATGTGACAGTGATGATGACCTGGGTATAAAAAGTACTCCAATGGAAGATGAATTCTGATCCACAGAAGATGTAGAAGTTATTAGAAGAAGGCTTGAGGAAATGTAAAGGTATTACCACCCAGCATCAAGTAGCTTTGAAGAGACTCAGGATAATGAATTCTTGAACTTGCTTTCTAAAGAAGGCCAGCATTCTACTAGCTAGTACAGATGTATTTGAAAATCTGCGTTTTTTGCTTTCTTGTGTTCAAAATTTTATATTTGCTTTGTATTTTTGTTCTCTTTTTCAAAAATGTACAGAGGAATAAAATACATATTAATGCAAATATATAAATCATGTATTCTGTTAGAGGTATCACAGTTTCCCAGTTAACTTGGAATTCATATATTTAGGTTAAAAGAATTAAAAAATAGAAAAGCTCTTGACTATTGTTTATAGTTTCCCAAGTAGCATTATTTCTTTATTTGTACTGTACAGATTATTCTAGTTTATTTTTTTAGGAATGAAAATGAATATAAATAAAGCTGTCACAGATTAGTTTTTCTGTAAATTCTGCCTCTCATGTGGCTCTAATTTATATATGTAATAACCTTCAAGATCTTGTTTATGATTATTAGAAGAGAGTAATGGAAACTGATCATGGAAACAGCTTAAAAGTTTTACCAGCAGTGTGCTTTGTGGGTTTCACTCAGCTGTATTCCTGCTTTAATTAGAGCACTACATTGCTGGAATAAAAAGAACACCTTGATTCCTTTGAAATAATTTAAAAGAAATGTACAGAGGAAAAATACATATTAATGCAAATATATAAATCATGTATTCTATTAGAGGTATGACAGTTTCCCAGTTAACTTGGAATTCATATATTGTTTATATATTTCCCAAATAGCATTATTTCTTCATTTGTACTGTACAGATTATTCACCGATTGTGTTTCTATTTGTTAAGCAATTAAAAATAATTTTAAATTAAAAAATATTGTGAGAAGAGTGTTATTGTTTTCTATCTTTCCAAATCTCTATTTCTTTTCTATTCCTTTTACTTGCTTAGACTTTTATGTGACTTATATACCTACTTTTTAAAGGCAATGGTGTAACAATATTTGCATAAAATTAAACATTCTTAATAATATTAGTACCTTTTTATATATTTATGTAAACATAATCTTTAAAAAATATAATGTTCAAGGTCTACTCAGGAATAATCTTCCTTAACTCTTTAAAATTTGTATTTCATATGGAACTATCTTCATTTTAGTTATTCATTAAATTGTCTTTAATTTCCTACATTTGGTATTACATATTTAATCTTTAAATGTTGAGGCCCCATTGTGAATAATTAAAAACATTACACAATTAGACTAAGAAGGGCTTGTCATACTATCTTTGTATATATACTTCATGTTATTTGATCAGGAATGTTATCCCAAATTTTTGAGTAGTAATTGCCAAACTGAAACTTTTTAAAGAAAAGAATCATGGCTATAATTTTGTTCTTTTTCTGCAATTACATATTTTACTGTGAAATAGCATTGCTGGGAAAAAATAGTATTGCTGTATTTTTTTATTAGTATACTCTTTTCAATAGACATTGGAAGTCAATTTGTGTTTTTATTTCTTAAGATATCTAGTCTACTCTACCTGCTTGTGTATATTTTTTTAAGTAGATATTATAGCTTGAGAATTTACCATTCATTTTTCCAAAATGACCACATCGTGCTTTTAATTAAATTGGTCAATTAAGGCCTTAGGATGTAGTCACTGAGATAGACCTTTTAGACACCTGCAGGAGCTTGCACAATAGTGTGGAGCATAAAAGACATTCGGGAGAGAGGTGTAGTTAAACAAATATGGGGAAGAGGAAACAACACCTCTGTGCCAGAGGTTCCACACACAGGTGTGAGGTACACTGATGCTCTATTAGGAAGATTTTGGAGCATATATGGTAGAGAGTAACTGAAACTTTTCATCATAACCCTTAAAAAAGTAATTGAGTTGTTTAATGTTTTAATTAATTGTAACTGATTGTGTTTCTACTTGTTAAGCAATTAAAAATAATTTTAAATTTAAAAAATTGTGAGAAGAGTGTTATTTTCTATCTTTGAAAATCTCTTTAATGGCTGGTTTGATGGATGACACTTGAATTCTCACATTTGATTTTGCTTAAAGTCTGTTGTGATATGTTGTTTGATTTGAAGTACATGAGGAAATTGAATGACTCAGATATGTAGTTGAGAAAGAGAGGACCTTGCAACCCCCAGAGTCCCTTTCAGAACCACTGTCCTATAAAGTAGTTTGGAAGAACATTTGAGTGGTGAGATTATTTGTGGTCCTAGTTGTTTCCTTTTTCATTTATATATTCTACAACAGAGATGGATTATTTGTGCAAATTATAAATGAGAAAGGAAGAAGTATGAGTATGTTGAGGAAAGATTTTGGAGACCCTAGAAACAGAAGCAGAAAAGTTTATATTTAGGAAACCAAAGAGCCACTGTAATTTCTTTTCTTCTCTCTCTTTTTTTAAAAATATGTTTTTATTAATTTCAGAGAGAGGAAGGAGAGGGAGAGAGAGATAGAAACATCAATGATGAGAGTCATTGATTGGCTGCCTCCTGCACGCCCCCCACTGGGGATCCAGCCCACAACCCGGGCATGTGCCCTGTCCAGGAATTGAACCCTGACCTCCTGGATCATAGGTCGATGCTCAACTGCTGAGACAGGCCCCGCTGGGCTGTAATTTCTTAAATAGGCAAATGACCTGTTAAAAATTGTATTTATCCCTGGCCGTGTGGCTCAGTTATTGGAGCATCATCCTATACACCAAAAGACTGCAAGTGCCATTCCGGATCAGGGCACATACTTGGGTTTGATCCCTGGTCAGGGTACATACAGAACGCAACTGATCGGTGGTGTTTCTCACATTGATGTTTATTTGTTTTTCTCTCTCTCCCTGTCTCTAAAAATCAATAAACATATTCTCAGGTAAGAATTAAAGAAAATGTGGGGGAAAATAGGGTAGAATTAGAAGAGAGAAGCTACTTTATAGTTTGTCTCAGTACTAAAGGTGAGTAATGAGATGGGCTATGCCTCAGATATTGGTGGAAATGGAGAAGAAAACTCAAAATTTGATAGAAATTTTGAGGGCGGAAATACCAAGACTTGGATATAGGGGATAAATGAGAGGGAGGAATTAAGATGACTAAGAGTTTTCAAGTCTAAAACATTCGAAAAATATTTTCTCCCTTATATTCAACTTTAACCTTTTCTGAAAATTATCTTGATTAAGCTAACTGAAGTCTTGTCTTGTTTTTCAGAGTTTGCCAGTCCGTTCCAGGGATTAGGAGAAATTCATCATGCTTCCCAATCTGAGTCATTCACAGTGATTACCAGAAGAAAAGAAAGACCTGTGACATCCCTGTAGAGTTTGTACCTGTAAATCCCTGGAAAATTACTTGCAGCTTACTTCCCTTAGCCCTTCAGGAAGTGAATTTCTGTCTATTCAGTTCCTGTTTGCATTGGACACTGGCAGTCCACCTCTTATGCACTCCAGCACCCCCATCAGCTCTCTCTTTTCCTTCACCAGCCCAGCAGTGAAGAGACTGCTAGGCTGGAAGCAAGGAGATGAAGAGGAAAAGTGGGCAGAGAAGGCAGTAGACTCTTTAGTGAAGAAGCTAAAGAAGAAGAAAGGAGCCATGGATGAGCTGGAGAGGGCTCTCAGTTGTCCAGGGCAGCCCAGCAAATGTGTTACGATTCCTCGGTCCTTGGACGGGCGGCTGCAGGTGTCCCACCGCAAGGGTTTGCCTCATGTTATTTATTGCCGAGTGTGGCGTTGGCCTGATCTCCAGTCTCACCATGAGTTGAAGCCCCTGGAGTGCTGTGAGTTCCCATTTGGCTCCAAGCAGAAAGAGGTGTGCATTAACCCCTATCACTACTGCCGGGTGGAGATGCCAGGTGAGTTTTCTTCATGAAATCATGGTTTATTTTAAAAGTTAAGGAGGTATGTCCCAGTTGATAGAGAGTTATGGGTCATAAGCAATACAAGGACCACCCCAGGCACCAGAAGAGAGAAGGGGGAAGTCAATTTTGAGGAACTAATCCAAAATTTGGTGGTGAGAAAAATCTAGAAAGAAGGATTTTCATTTCAGCATATATGTAAACTCTGTGTGATTTTGAAAATGCAGTTTTGTTTTCATTTGTTTTGGAGTCATCATCATGATGTTTTTCCAGTTTTGGGGGTGTTTAAGGGTCTTAATATGGCCTTGATATGATTAACTGGAAAAAAAAAAACATCCTCCTCTCTGACCCCTCTCCCTCAACTGAACTGAACTGAAGTAAACTAAAGAAGTTTCTTTGCTGTCATTTTCCCCAAGCTTAGGTAAGTGGAGGTATCTCATTTCTGGGTCTGAAAACAGCCAATGAAATAGTTGCTGGAAATCCTTCTAGGACTGAAAACAATAGGGGACTGAGGGAAGCTGGCAGTTGTTCTTAAATATGATTTTAAATATAAGAAACTATTGCCCTAAACTCTTCACACATCTGGATGTGTATGTATGTGTATATACAGTTCACCTCCCTTTTGGAGAAGTCTGGTGTGGATCTTCGTTCCTTCACACTGGCTATAACAGTTTGCACTTTTCTTTAGATTGCGTGTTCTTGTGTCTATAGGAATAAATTTTTACGAGAGCTTCCTCTCCCTGATTGGCCATCTGCCTCATTCCAGGAACTCAGGGAAATGACCGTGTCCATTAGGAGACAGTTCTGTCGAGGTAGAAAGGCCATGGTGGGAGTGCAGCCAGTCACTTGGTCAAGGAGGTTCAGTTAACCTTACAGTAGTACTGGTAAGTGCTTTGTGCCCAGCCTACAGCAGACTTTCTAGGCAACATCTCAGACTCCCAAATCTTGCCATCATCTTGTAAAACCATAGTCAAGGAAGTCACCTGCCTGGATGTGAATGCCTTTCACAGTTACTTCTTCCTGGGATTGAGGCCCTGTATGAAATTGTGATGAGAAAGTCCCACTCTCCTGTCAAATCTAATGCATTTTCCCTAAATCATTTAAGTCTTTGCTCTCTTCCCTTCTTTCCTGTTTCCCTCTGGGCTCTCTTTGCATACTTAAAAAGTCATTAGTGTCTGAGTTCATGACAGAAACAACTTGATTCTTTTTTTTGTTTCAAAGATTTGAGTTATATTAAGCATTTAAAATACACCCAATGGAAAAATGTTCATTAAGAAATCATGTCTGGAGTGGGAGGGCAGGGTGGAGGGGATCAATGTGGGGGCAGGGAGGTAGGGACATCTGTAATACTTTCAACAATAAAGATAAATTTTTAAAAAAGAAAGAAAAAAAAGAAATCATGTCTCTTCCTGAGTAATAGAGTTGTAAAAGCTATCTTGTAAAATGTATCTGTTTTCCTTTTGAATACTCAAATATCTAATTTTACAGGATTATTTGATATTTTAGTGTTTCATATTATGTAAGGTTCTTTTATGAATGGTAGTGTTTTTACATATGGCAGGTAGATTTCATATCATATTTTAGGTTTGAGTTTCCAAAATGAAAGGTGGGTAAAGATTGTAGTAAATTTTAAGGTTTTTAAATTTCCTAACTTGATTTTTTTTTGTATAAAAAGGAGATTTTATATCTAACTTTCTGGCCATATTTAAAGTTAATATTTTGAGAACAATTAATATACTAATGTTAAGCAAGTTTGCTGGTTCACTGATTATTATAAAGCTTATGTTTCCCCTTTGAAATCTCTCAAATTTTGCTGGCTCTTGCACTCTGTTGTTCCATGACCTCCACTTGCATGCCATGTAGTCTTAAGCAGCTGCATGGCCCATGGCCATGCAGACCCCACACTCAGTGGTCTGCAGCTGTGAGACAAGCTAAGTTATCCAGGTGCTAAACTGTACTCTACTTAATATGGAGTGGAGACTCTGGGCAGCGGCTTTAATCCTAGCCCTGCTTAAGGTAAGACTGGGCTTTTTCTATGGCAAGATAGAAGAAGATGGGACCTTGGAAAGGAACCCCCTTAACTTTACACCATTAATAAAACTTCCCATGAAACCCATGAAACCCCATCCTGTGGGGGCCTCAAGAAATTCTTTTCCCAGTGGCACCCCAAAAACTACTTCTACCAATAATAGGGGAGGTGCAGATGGCACCCCATTGATAACAGAATTACTCTGTCAAATTGCTATTAAAGTTTTTAACCATAAATTTTCATTATAAATACTTCTACCTTCATGGACTGGCACCTAACAGTTTGTGAAATGTCACCTTTCTTCTTCAGGCCACTTTGTGTGTCTCACGTCTGGGAGAAGCTGTGCAAAAAATGTTTTTGTGGCACACAATGGTTTTACTCCATGTGACTGAAGATTATTTCAGGAGTGTAATTTCTTTTCTTTTTATTGATTTTTTTCTATCAATTTCTGTTTTCTTTTTTTCATTTTATTTTTATTGTTGACAATATTACAGATGTCCCCATTTTCTCCCCATTTGCCCACACCCACCCAGCCCCTGCCCTCCCCTTCTTTCTGGCCATCACCTCACTGTTCTCTGTGTTTATGGGTTTTGCATATATGTTTTTTGGCTAATCTCTTCACTTTCTTTCATCTAGTCCCTTCCATCTCCCTCTCCTCTGACAGCAGTCAGTCAGTTAGCCAGTTTATTTTGTTCATTAGATTACACATATAAGTGAGATCATATGTTATTTGTTTTTCTCTGGCTTATCGCACTTAGCATAATAATCTCCAGGTCCATCCATGCTGTTGCAAAAGGTAAGATCTCCTTTTTTATGGCTATGTAGTATTCCATTGTGTAAATATACCACTGCTTTTTTTATCCACTCATATACTGATGGGCACTTGGACTGTTTTCAGATCTTGGCTATTGTAAATAATGCTGCAATGATCATAGGGGTACATATATTCTTTCTGATTGTTTTTTCTGGATTCTGAGGATATATTCCCAGAAGTGGGATCACTGGGTCAAATGGCAGTTCCATTTTTAATTTTTGTGGGCATGATCTTTATTTTATCCCACAGTGGCTGAACTGGTGTGCATTCCCACAAATTGTGCAATAAGGTTCCCTTTTCTCCACATCCTCAGTAGCACTTGTCATTTGTTGATTTACTGATGATGATGACCATTCTGGCAGGTGTGAGGTGATACCTCATTGTAGTTGTAATTTTCATCTCTTTGATGGTTAGTGATGTTGAGCTTTTTTTAAAATATCTATCTATTGGCCATCTATATGTCTTCTTTGGAGAAGTGTCTCTTAAGGTCCTATGCCCATTTTAAAATTGGATTATTTGTCATCTGGTGTTGAGCTATATAAATTCTTTATATATTTTGGAAATTAACCCTTTATCAGATGTGTCATTGGCAAAGATGTTTTCTCATACAGTGGGTTGTCTTTTCATTTTGTTGATGGTTTCTTTTGCTGTACAGAAGCTTTTAAGTTTGATGTAGTTTCATTTGTATATTTCCTCCTTTGTTTCCCTTGTCCGAGGCAATATGTCAGCAAAAGTATTACTACAAGAGATGTTTGAGATTTTACTGATTATGTTTTCTTCTAGTATTTTTATGGCTTTGTTACTTCCATTTAAGTCTTTAGTCTATTTTGAGTTTATTCTTGTGTATGGTATAAGTTGGTGGTCTAGTTTTATTTTTTTGCATGTATCAGTCCAATTTTCCCAACACCATTTATAGAACAGGTTGTTTTTATTCCATTGTATGTTCTTGCCTCCCTTGTCAAATACAAATAATCCATAAAGGCATGGATTGATTTCAGGGCTCTCTGCTCTGTTCCATTGATCCATATGCCTGCTCTTGTGCCAGTACCAAGCTGTTTTGATTACTATGACCTTGTAGTATAGTTTGATATCAGGCATTGTGATACCTCCAACTTTGTTCTTTTTGCTCAAGATTACTGAGGTTTCAGGGTTTTTTTTTTTTTTGGTTCCATATAAATATTAGAGTATTTTTTCTAGGTCTGTGAAATATGACATTGGTATAGGGATTGCATTGAATCTATAGATTGCTTTGTGTAGTGTGGACATTTTAATGACGTTAATTTTTTGAACACTGTATATGTTTCCACTTATTTGTATTTTCTCTCTTCAATGTCATATTGTTTTAAAAGTATAGGTCACTTACCTCCTGTATTAAATTTATTCCTAGGTACCTTATTTTGGTTATGTTGCAATAGTAAATGGGATTGTTTTCTTAGTTTCTCTTTCTGATATTTCATTGTTGGTATATGAAAATGCTGCAAATTTCTGAATATTAATTATGTATCCTGTGACTTCGCTGAATTCATTGATTAGATCTAGCAGTTTTTTGGTGGAATCTTTAAGGTTTCCTTTGTACAAGATCATATCATCTGTGAATAATTAAAGTTTTATTTCTTCCTTTCCAATGTGGATACTATTTATTTCTTCTTCTTGTCTGATCACTGGGGCTAGGACTCCCAGTACTATGTTCAGTAAGAGTGGTGAAAGCAGACATCCCTTTCTAGTTCCTGATCTAGACAGGAAAACATTTTTAATTTTTGCCCATTGAGTGTGATGTTGGCTGTAGATTTTTTCATATATGGCCTTTATTATGGTGAGGTATGATCCCTCTATTCCCACTTTGCTGTAGTTCTTCCATAAATCAATTTTACCAAATACTTTTCTTGCATCTATTGATATGATCATGTGATTTTTATCCTTCATTTTGTTTATGTGATGTATCACATTTATTGATTTGTGGATAATGTACCAACTTTGAATCCCCAGAATAAATCCCACTTGATTGTGGTGTGTGATCTTTTTAATATATTGCTAGATCCGATTTGCTAATATTTTGTTGAGGATTTTACGATCTATGTTCATCAGGGATATTGGCCTATAGTTTTCTTTCTCTGTAGTGTCTTTATCTAGTTTTAGAATTAGAAAATTGTGGCC